AATCTGCAGGCACTTTAACAGGATGTCTAACATCTGGTTCAAATGGAACCGCAATACCTGAATATAAAAGATACGATCGACAACACGTGGATCTGTGAGAGGTCCATCATTCAGATTGATATGTAATGAATCACGAGCAACTGATTGATATGTAATGAATCACGGGCAGTGTATATTTCAGTAACACGTGTCTCCAGGTCGGAGGACCGTTACCCGGCCTTGAATCAAAGTGCGGCACAAAAGGAGCGCAGAGCATGTGAGTGAGCTGCTGAGACCTGGACAAAGCCTTACCTTCCAGCGGCAGCAGCAGAGCCAGCAGCAGGCTCACAGTCCACAGACAACCGTTCGTCATGTCTAGAGTGACCCAGAACACACCCACCCAGCGGATCTTGAAAGCACAGCGGTTAGACAGGGGCTCTGTTGCCGTGGGCTACTTGCCGTTCCAGAGAGCCGCATCAAAGGCGTTCCCTTTGGCTTTGTAACACTCCCAAACGCAGCAGCTTCTTCTCTGTTCTGTACACTGGACGCAGCGAAGGCCGTTGCTGCCCCCCACAGGTTGGACGTTGCAATTGTACAAATCTGTATGCATTGCTCTTTATATACAGTATATGATTGCTACTAACCTGTCGCGTAATAATAATCATCAGTACATAATTTAAATATTGTCCACCACAACAAGCTAATTATACCATCTGTTGTGTAAAATCTGACTTTGACACTTGGTCAGTACTTTTGAACTGTAGTCACAGAAGACAGAGGTTGTGGTTTCAGCTTAAGGTCAGATTTCCAGGTGCCAAATCTTTGTCTTAGTTTAGCTGTTCAAGTTGGTTGTCCTTGACCTTGCAAATAAAAAAAAATTGCATGAAACAAGTTTTGCATTCAGTTGTTGATGTTATGTCTTTGTTTAGTTTGGACCCCAAAAAAGAGACTGAATACAGGTGTAGATAAATAAAAGAGTTTATTGCTCAAAAAGCAGCAACAAAGAGCAGGCTGGCTGGATCCCAAAGACAGCAAGAGTGCAAAGCACACGGATGGACAAAACTCAGCACTGCGGACACTGTGAAGGCAACAGCAAGGCACAGGATAACCTGAGTAAAAGGGAGAAAAAACACTGGTGAGGTTCTACAAAAATTCAACACCAAAGATTTCACAAGGAATAAGCAGTGCAATTGCTGAACTAGACGGAATTATCTGGCAAAGCAATGGAGTCAAGACCAGGGGTCTCATTTATAAAACAATGCGTAGGATTCATACTAAAAGTGTCAGTGCGCACAAAAGCCGGAAATGGCATACGCAAAAGAAAATTCAGATTTATAAAACTGTGCACACACACACCTGAATGCAATTTTCACTTTATAAATCACAGTGCACCTGGAAAGGTTCGTACTTGGAGCTGCCTCATATCCCGCCCTCTGCACACCCACATTCAACTATAAATGGTCAATGCAAAACATGTCATGAATATTAAATTATCCTGCTTACCAGTGGGTCTCCATAGTTTCTCTTTATTTTTGTGAGTGATCGCCAGTGCGCTCTCTGCGCCTGATGGCACAGTCACGTTCACTGCAGCGATTTTTACACACTCATCCTAATGATTCACGCACAGCGTTAGAATGTATTATTATTAAAACTATTAATGACTTGGCTCTGCAACTCTGCTGTTTAATCTGAACATAATTTGCTGTAAATTGTTTTATATCTGTATTAAAAGTTGTTATGAAGCTTTTTTCAAGCACAACTAACATTGTGCGTTTCATTATAAATGATGAAGTGGATCAATAATCTGCTTCAGTTCACAAGCTCACATCTGCATCGCCAATTTCCCGTCTCCAAAATGTTCATACGCATGCGTCAGAGTTTGCGTGGAAATTTCCAAATTCTCCCATCAAGTTTGTTTTTAAAAATCCCAGTGTTTTGAAATCCCCATTTTGTGCGTACGCAATGATTATAAGTGAGACCCCAGGCTTTTATGGGGCGGATGATGAGTTGAGTGAGAGCATGTGTGCCTTGTTTACTGTAGAGAAAGAGAAGCCAGCTGGGCCCCCTGCCACACACATGCTCTGCAGGACAAAGAACAGAAAGGGGAGGGGGAGAGAGAACACAAAAAAACAAAACAAACACAGAATCATCACAGTTGAGTTTGGATTACAATATCTCCCTCATTAAAAACAAATTGGGCGTAATGGTAAACAGCCCTATGCCCTATGCTCTCTACTTACTCTCTCTCTCTCTCTCTCTCTCTCTATATATATATATATATATATATATATATATATCTGTGTGCTCTTGAATGCATAGAGGCCGGGGGGCTTATTTTGAAAATCTAGGCTCCTTACAGGTTTCCTGATAACAACCTGTTATTTTGAAAATCCAGGCTCATTACACGTTTCCTGATAACATCCTGTTACTATGGGGAGGGGGGCTTATTTTGAAAATCCAGGTCCCCTGGTATCATCTATGGGGTGTCCTCACTCAGTCTTGAACTCTTGACGTTGTGTCAGTGGTCATGTGATGTAATCACTGGACTAAATCAGTAAATATAAAGAGGTGCCCTCTCCTCTGCGTGTGTATTTCGTTGCTATGAATACTCACTTACTTGATTGCGTGCACCTATTATCTCCCAGTTGGGAGAGAGACGAAGAAGCTCTGGCGCAACCCTCAAACAAATGCTTCTAACTCAAAAACTGTAAGTCCTACCTGTGAAATAAAAACACTGTGAGACTTCCCTGAACATGCAGATATTTTTATTAGTTAGAGTTAAGAAATGTGACCTTGGGAGCGAGTTAGAAAATATTGATTGTTGTTGTCCTCTCTGATCTTTTTTTTCAAAATTAACATGGCATCCAATGGAGAGGTGAAACCAGAAAACCGATTTCATAGTTACATGTCTGCGAAGGAAACAGACTCTGTTTTATTTTGATGTAAAAATCATGTCTGACAACCTCCATTTGTGTCTTTGAGAGCAATTTGAGCACACAAAAAGTTGCTGAAAAACAGCCGTTTTTTTCACACTTGCTCTAATTGGGCGAGAGACCTTGACTACTTGCTCTAAATGAGCGAGAGACCTTGACTCCCATGCATTTTGTGTGAATGTGCATCAAACATTGTGGGTTTCCTGATAACTTCCTGTTACTATGGGGGGGGATTATTTTGAATATTTCATAAGAATATTGAGGGGGGTCACTCCTTGGATTTTTATGTTGCCCTTTAAGTTTCAACTTTACAACATTCGGAAAAAAAACTAACAATGACCTATATCACATGGCCATATCCTTGAAGGACACCTGTTCTGTGATTACATCACTTGCACTCAGTGATGATATGGAATAAGTAACTTACTGAACACAAAAGGGGAATCATTAATCGTTGTCACTGTAAATCAAGAAGCCATTGTTTACATACCTAAGCCTGTGAATAAGAAATGACTCTTGTCATTCATTGGTACATGTTCTTTTTCCAGGACGTTCATTCCTGATTTTGCTCTTCTTTAAGCCTCTTTAGGTGCCCTGTACCATGGCAAGTCACTTGCTCCTCACGACCATATTGTCTGTACTTCAGAGGCCGACGAGGCATTTGTCACACTGAAGAAGATGCTCCAGCAATCTCCTACTCTGGCTCTTTCCCTAACCCTGACAAACCTTTTGTTCAGGCTGTGGATGAAAGAGGCTGCTGCAAGACTTCCGTCCTCCTTCAGTCTCATTGTGACAAATATCATCCCACCGCTTACTTCTCTGCCAAACTTGACCCAGTGGCAGCTGGCCTTCCACATTGCTTGCATTCTCACAGAACAGAAGACCTCACACATCGGTCGCTGGCTGCATTATCACACAAATTGGCCACTGGTAAAACACTCTAGATATTCATTCGGTGTCACACATGATTTTCGTGCTCTCTGGAGGCACAGAAATGTCCTCACATCTTCTGGTAAAAAGATTGTACACCATGGCCTCATTACAGATCTCCTGTCAGCCATTTTACTCCCTCAAGCTGTTGCTCTATGCAAATGTACTGCACTTACACGTGCTTTTGATGTGGTGTCTGGGGGGAATGCCAAAGCTGAAGCTGCTGCCAAAGCTGAAGCTGCTGCTAAAGCTGCGACTACCACTTCCTCCTTCGAACACACAGGCTGTTGTACTCACATCTGACATGCCACTTGCAGCTACACTGCTCTCACACTTCTACAATAGCAGGAAGACACCAGAAGACCACATCCCAAGCAACCATGGAGAGAGCATGCCCATAGCATCTATTTCGATATCCAGGGTTTTGTGGCTTCAGGGGCTCACTATGTGTGTTATTTGTGATTTCCTTGATTATTGTTTTGCCAATTATTCAGCTTAGATGTACTCTTATTAAAGTCTCTGATGATCTAATGAACTCCGCTTTCCCAACAGGACAACATTGTGATGTTATACTCCCCCCCAGCTTGCTTATGTGTTTCTCAGTGATTTCACTTGACAAAACAGCTACTATTAACTTTTCAACTTCATATTTAATGATGCCTTCATTTGAATCTCTGTGAATTTTTATGGTTGATGTGTGTTGTTTATGAAGTTTGTACATACTTGTGATCATTGTAAGATCAAAAGGCGGCAGTAATGGAAAATTCCCCTTCCTCTTTCCCTTCTACTGTTATGATGTTGCTGTGCACCTGGCTGATGCAACCTCAGAGTTCATGTCTTTTTGTTGACTCTGATCTGTGAAACTGGGTGCTGGGGTTCATTTCCTCTTTCTGTAGAAGAAACAGCAGAAGTTTTCCTCTGTCTACCAAACTACAGTGCTCATACCCTTATTCAGTTTTCTTTAGCAGCAACGGTAGGTGTTTCCTGTCTACCAGACTATAAAAAAAAAACCTTCTTCTTTGACTATTCAAGGTTCCACTCTGAGCAGTTCATGCTGACTGTGAAACCCTCTGCAGAGCTTACTCTTAAAAACTCAAAGAGAAACTCTTTATTTCACATATCGAGATAAATTCCCACCACACACCTGTCTCCACCTCCTCTTGGTGTACATGTAGTGCTGTGAAATACTCCAGGTGGTAGCACAGGCTGTCTTTTGAGGAGTAGTAAATGGTTAAGCGTGAGTGCCTCTTAATTGTTTGGATCATTTGACACTCTTGGTATCAGCCTTCCATTAACAATCTCCTCTACCTCACAAAACAGTGTCTGGAGGCATTCATCATCAAGGGGTTGCTGTTTCAGACTCTGGGTCATGATTTTCCTCTCAGAACATATCTGTCTCTCCCATATGCCACCAAAATTAGAATCCACTGGTAGGTTAAATATTCAGGGAATGCCTTTTTGCATGATCATCTCTGAGATTTTGGAGTGATTCGAACATTTGACAGATACTTGGCCTCTCCTGGCAATAAATCTCCTGACTGCATTTATACAGGAATCAGTATCAAGTGAATGTGCAGCTTCAGTGTGAATTACTCTAACAGTAAGACATGTGAACAAAACACCATACCTTTTTACCTTTGAACTCCGCCCACAGTTCACA